CTTATGTTTTATTCTGGCTTTTCTTGCTCGGAAACTGCCTGATAACTTCAATGAGGCCAAACTGATCACCTTCAGCATGCTGATATTCTGTGCAGTCTGGATCACTTTTATTCCAGCATATGTCAGCTCTCCTGGGAAGTTCAGTGTTGCTGTAGAGATATTTGCTATTCTGGCCTCCAGTTTTGGACTGCTCATTTGTACTTTTATTCCGAAATGTTATATTATCTTACTGAAACCGGAGAAAAATACAAAAAAGAATATGATGGAGAAAGGGGCATCAAAGCAATTTTGAAAACTTATTTTTATCCCAAAATGTTATATCATTTTTCTGAAACCAGAGAAGAATACCAAAATGAATATGATGAAGAAGAGAATGAGAATGTAGAAAATATGGTGGAAAATCTTTTGTGGTGCCAATATAATTTTCCATAATTTATTCAGTTTACACTTGCAATGTACAGCACCTTATGCATTCACAAGCCATTGCCCATATTATATTGAATGTCTACTTAGAATGTGAATTAAAGAAAAAGCACTCTGTGTTTTTACTGTAATCCTTATTGAATATTTTGATTTTAGTTTCAGTTTATGGGGACAAATCAGCCAACCCTCTCTCTTTAAAATTATATTCCTAGCTTTTAAACTGCAAATGCCAATACATTTTATTGGGAAGGTTTTTGATTGTATATATAGCAGTGCCATGAATGAATTGCAATAGAAAATAAATAGCTATGCTGCTAAATACTCATGCTATCTGTGTATTTGTACTGTTTAACACTGTGTTTCTCCATTCTCCCATACATTCCACACAGATTCAGTCTCTACACACATCTACACATACAGGCACACTTCATACATACACACACATACACGTAGTCTCTATTGACACAAACACATAGCCTGTTGCATACAAAGTCCAACTGGTTCCAGATAGTGGTGTGACACCTGACCACTGTTGGACAAAACAATGGTTATGTACCATAACCATAGCTTCTATGAGTATAGGTGTAGCCTTCTACGAGCTGTCACTATTTGGTTTATATCCTTGCGCTTATACCCTGAAGAGATTACTTTCACGCCTTGTGCGCTACACTGGGCTGACCCCACTCAGGTCCACTCTCACTGTATTAAATACCTATGTGACCTGAGCTACTTATGCCAGTGCTTTTTCTTCAGCTGGCTGAGATGGAGTCTGCAGGGCCGTTTGCTTACAGAGATATGCCTATACTCATAGAACCTTGGGTTATGGTACATAACCATTGTTCTATTTTGTATAAGTATAGCCCTCTAAAAACCATTGCAGCTTTCTGCCATACCCAACCATAGCGGCCCAAGCAGCACACCCCTGCTCCTACGACAGGTTCTGTCTGAAGGCAGGTGCAGCATTACCTCCCACAGAACCTGGCTACTACTGTGAGACGGCCGGGATGACAATTATGCATTGTAACACATCCCATTTGAATTGGCAGGCAGAGGTGGATAAGTGCAGGGAAGGGTGCCCATTGAATGTGTGCGTCTAGTAAACACACATCAACAACCTTGTGTTGAGAGAAGCCTAGAAAACTGGAGAGTGTTCCCATTTCTTATCAGCTTGTCCATCCAGCTGTTCATGCAGAGCCGCCCTCACCACACAGAGTAATGCTCTGAGACCAGGCGAGCCCTTGTTTGGGGGGCGTTTGTGGATATTGCAATCAGCCATTGAAGTGCTCTCTCTGCCGTGGTGTGAGCTGAGTGTGCGCTTGTCACTAACCATGGGAGGGCAGGGGGAAAAGGGCTGCTGCAAGGCAAGTGGTCCAGATGGAGTGTCACTATGTAGGCATTTTATACAGCCAGAGCAGACCTGAGTGGTGTCAGCCCAAGGCAAGACACAAAGCGCGAAAGAAATCACATTCAGGACCACACATGCATGAGGAGATAAACCCAGTAGCAACAGCTCTTAGAGGGCAAAGCCTAATCTAAAGAGAACCTGACTGTTACTTCTTTTCATTTGCCACTGAGTGTGTGACCTCTTGATCAAGATGCTAGTATTGTGCTTATGCTATTGTTTGATTTGCTAAATAAAACACACAAAATATGACTTGGAAGCATCTTCATTGATTTTCACAACAGAACTTGGTATCAGAAGTGGGACAGATTGACCATTGAGCTCCGAGGGATCAACAAAGTTTCGCCAAAAAAGAGATTCCGCCAAATGGGTGAGAGGCTGTCTTCCCGGAGAGACTGAATGGTGCTTCTATCACTGAATCATAAGGTAAAGAATCAGACAGTACCATACACATGCTGGACAAGGAATTGGGCAGGAACCAATAAGCACTGATCTTATTATGGCAGTACCGACCACAGTAATACGTAGGTCTGAGGCCAGTAATCAATTATTAAAGCAGTGGATGTACGGTAACTGACATGTTTTATGAGCCAAAGCCACTGCTCTATGCCTATGAGTGAATTGGATTTTCAGAAACATGTACATTGCAAGCAGATCTACGCAATGAAATAACAGCTTAAAGTCATGTACACCATACATGCACCCACACATGTTTAACGTTTTCAGTGTAGCCTTGTACCAATCCACGTTGCCTGTTGGGTTATGATCAATCACACTAGAGATTGAAGCTCACAAGGTGACATTCCTAGTGGATTCGGATGCAACAGCTTTTGTTTTATATGTTGGATTTTTGCCCACTTCACCCAAAATGGAATGACAGAATATGCTACACTATCAGCTTCTTTTACAGACCTCTCTGACATGCAGTCACCGGCAACACCAGCAAAATAACAATAGTGGTGTAGTGTCCACAAGTCCAAAGTAGACATTTTGGAAGTAATGGTCAGGGACTCAAACAATTACATGAAACTTTGATTTTAAGCATTGAGAGCAGCCAAAAGACTGGCTCTCCTTAACAGATGGAGATGCCAGGCTTGTCTCCAGAGACCCCAACCCGACCGATCTCACTCTTTTGTGACCTTTCCTGTATTACAACACATCTTGGACCAACACTTATGACCTCAGACAATAAGTTACAATTAACACAGAGAGGTCCAGGACTCTTGGTTCCCTCTTATCTGATCAGTCTGGAAGGTAACAAAGCCCAGGAATGTGAAGAAAACCTCCCTTATCTGCACACAGGCTGTGACCCTTTGGATAAAGAAACGTGCTGAGATACTTTTGTTAACCAAGAGTTGTGTGATATTTGCTTTAGAAAGAAGAAATGTTTGTCAAACTGCTGATGGACACATATAACTACTTACTGCAAAGACTTTTCAGAATCCTTTGTAACAGTAGAAATGATTCCATGCATTATTGGATACATTATTGTTCATGAACTGCTACATGCTTATTATTTCAGGTGCTTAACAAATCAGCCATCACCAGAGACACCTGAAACTGCACTCCTGAAAGCGAGCCCAGAAATCCGGCAATGACAGATGTGTCCTGAGTCCTCAGCTTGGAACCATCTCAGCACTCCGGATCTGCTCAACTCCGGCCCAAAGACCCTCAGAACCAAAGCCTCCCCTCCTCCTGGCCACATGGAGTCTCCAAAACTAAATGGCTAACTACTGCACTGTATGGACTGTATGTATTGCAGTGCCGCTATCCATTCCAAACAACAAGAGATATCTGCTGTGTGTATAGAAAAATGCAGGGATTCATTCAGACATTGCATCGAAATAATATCCAACAATCAAACACAATCCTTAAAAAAAAAAAGAGTTGCATATAACCATGTTAGGAGACATGGTGACCTCAGAAGTAGACTATAAGGGATGGATGGTTTAAAAAAACTGCAGTGATACATTACACACAGAACAATCAAATATCCCTTCAAAAGTTATCCACATTTGCAGTTTAATTGCATACTCTAGGGGCATAGTTTTATGAGAAAGCGTTGGCTGATTTGACCAGAGGAAAATCTGAAAAATATTAAACTAACATCATAATCCACACAATACAGTCATGATTTAAAGCTAAGCCTGACCACAGGGCATTTTCTTTACTTCTAAGTAGGCATTCATATCGCAGCTTATGGGCTATACTGCAGGTCAAATGTTGAGCAGTCACGGTGAAAGTGGCAGCACTGGTGGAAGGGAGACTAACAACCTAGGGCAGGGAGACGAGAATGACAAAGGAGGAGTGAGGGCAGTGCCGAGAAAGGACTGCCTGGCATAGTCGAGTTGGTGGCAGGTTGGTTGTCGATGCAGGTGTCAGTGGAGCTGGATGGGTGGCTGGTTCATTGATGAGGCAGAGGAATAACAGTGCCTGAGTAGCATTGACTGGTGGAGCTGCATTGGTGGCTGGCTGACTGAAGAAGTGGAGGTGGAACAGCGCCTGGGCCGTGCTGACTTGTGAAACAGGGTTGATGGCTGGCTGATAGATGAGGCAGGAGTGGATCAGTGCCTGGATAGCACTGACTGGTGGGGCTGAGTGGGTGGCAGGCAGGCTGAGCTGGCTGGACAAGGCTGTAGTGGTGGAGCTGGCAGAAAAGACGTCGAGCTGGTCAGACTCAGCTGGAGTAACAGAGCGGGAAGGATAGGTGTTGAGCCAGTCAAACTCTGCTGGGGTAGCAGAAGTGGCCGGATTGTCATCGAGCAGGATAAGCTCTGCTGAGGTAGCAGAGCTGGCAGGATTGGCATCAAGCAGGTCAAGCTCTGTAAGATAGGAACATAGGCAAGGCAGAATAGCAAAGGTTGGCCTGAGCAGGAGCGACAGTGTATCGGAACTGACTGGCACTGAGAAGAAATTCAGCTTAGTCTAAATACTCTCAGGCTGATCAGGAAATGTGCCACAGATATGGAGATATACCCAGCTACTCAAGTAGGCTCGTCCATATGGAATGGAGAGACAGAGACCTAACATCATCAGGGTTTGTCCCAGGTGATTTTAAACATGCTGTGGTTCAACTACTTCTGAAGAGACACATTTTAGATGCTACAGTATTATTCAATTTCAGACCAATTTCTAAACTGCCATTTCAATCTAAAATTTTGGAGAAGGTTGCATTTCTGAAATTGCAATCTTTTCTTGAAGAAAATGAAATTCTTGAAAAAGTTCCATCTGGATTTAAATCACGTCATTGTTAGGTCACTGTCTCTCCACTCCTCCTGGGTGATCTGGCTGATGTTGGGTAAAATTATTAACAAAGTCATACTTTAAGGTTGATTCTAACATTTGATTGAATTAAGAACTTTATTAGTAGAAGATTAACATTATGCTTGTTGATTAGTCAACCTGTGTGTTTACTTTGTTTGCGTATGATTATTCTATCATAGTTAAGATTTAGTTTATAGCACACA